TAATTTACAGGGCACTTTTGCTACCGAAAGGTTTTATGGATTTCCGTGAGTCTACACTAGACCCACTTAAGCCCACCAAATACCCCAAAGTGGTATAGGGGCTTCTAGGGCCTACAGGACCCACAGTAGGCCTACGAAGGCCTATATATAGACCTCTCCTCTCTCCTGTAGAATAGTTCTCTTTCTTTCCTTAAGGGCAAAAGCTTAAGGCTAAGGCTAAAGGCCAAGGCCAAGGGTAATAAAAGCAATTCTTATTCCTTATACCTCACTGTATTACAGTGCTTTACCTTCCTTCGGCACTGCCGTCGTATCCTCCCGCTTCCGCTTGCGCACTGCTGTATTTTACAGCAACCCTGTATAGGTTCTATATTATAGGCCTATCAGGGCTTACCAGCTAACAATACTATTATATTTAACGCCGGTTACCGTATTTTTAAACTTTAATAATTTAATAATAAAGTTTATTATAATTAAACTCTATAATCGTTTTACTATTAATAATAGTTCTAAAAATCTATAAGGCTTATACTTCGTAACCCTTGTTTTCTTGTATATATAGTATAACTAAATAGCTTCCTTAATATCGTCCTTAATCTTCGGTTAATTAAAGTGCTACTTGATGTTTTCTATAGTTTTAACGATACTTATATACCCTCCGAGTTTTAACCCGTAAATCTCTATTATTAATACCGTTCTATTATTTAGTATTACGTACGCTCGATTTCTATACTATAATTTTCTTTAATTATTTTTTTTAAATACCTTATAGTTCTAGCTCTTCCTATTAATATTACTTTATAATATTACTACCTAACTTCTTTTAATATTTATTAGAAATAGCCCTCTCGCAATATACTATATAGTACTTTATTTACGGCTATAGTAAATACTTAAAGGTATTATTTAGCGCCTCCTCGAGTAGTAATAGTAACTCCTTAAGTATATTTTTATAGTAATCGGTACGCCTATTAAATACGTTTACTTTAACGTTCTCCGAACCTTTTTTATAATTAATTTAAAAATTAAATTCTAAAAAAAACTTTAATTATCGTATTTACTATACGTTAAGGACCTTCGTAATAATAAAGTACTATAGATTCTTATAATCCGTATAGACCTATATTTTATATTTAGTATTATTAAAGTATAGCCTTTACTCCTCGAATACTTCGATAATAATAAGTAGCTTTTTATTATAGATTAAGTAGTTTTAACGTATCCCCTTTAATTTCTTCGAAAAGAAAATTACTAAATATAGTTTCCCGTTATCGTCTCGCTATCCTAATTACTTACTAATCGCATAGTCTAATATATTAGCCTCGACCTTAAATAGTTAATTAGGGTTTAGTAATTTAAATACCGGATCCTTTAAAATAACTTCTTTTAACTCTTAAAAGGTTTACTCCTCCTCCTACTCTTACCGGAACTCCACGTTTTTTTTAATTAAATAGTTAAATAATTACGCGATTTTAACGTACTTATAAATAAATATCCGATAGAAATTCGTAAAGCTTAAAAATTCCCTAATATATATTTATAATTATAGCGTAGGCTAGTCTTTAATTATTATAATGTTTTTATGTTTTATACGAACCTTTCTTAATAATATTAAATATGTTAAATATACTATTTTTTATATATTAGACTCGCTTTTCTTTTTATTAATTAAGAATCGG